CTTCGGTTGCAACGTCAACGACCAGGAGCCCACGCATAGGGTTTAGGGTTTAGGGTTTAGGGTTTGCGGTTTTGGGTTTAGGGTTTAGGGCTTAGGGTTTAGGGCTTAGGGTTTGCCAGGAGCCCGAACATCCGGTGCCAACGCTGCTTTGGGGTTTTAGATGTTGGGGGTTTAGGGTTTAAGGGTTGAAGGGTTTAAGGCTTTGAGGGTTTAAGGGTTAAGGGTTTAGGGGTTTAAGGCTTTGAGGGTCTAGGGGTTTGAGGGTTGTAGGGTTTAAGGGTTTAGGTTTTAGGGTTTAAGGTTTTAAGGGTTTGAGGGTTCGAGGGTTTAAGGTCCTAAACCCTAAACCCTAAACCCTAAACCCTAAACCCTAAACCCTAAACTCTAAACCCTAAACCCTAAATTTTAGCTTTTAAGGTAGGTAAGGTATAAGAAGGGTTTAAGGGTTTAAGGGTTTGAGGGTTTGAGGGTTTGAGGGTTTGAGGGTTTGAGGGTTTGAGGGTTTAAGGTCCTAAACCCTAAACCCTAAACCCTAAACCCTATACCCTAAACCCTAAACCCTAAACCCTAAACTCTAAACCCTAAACCCCAAATTTAAGCTTTTAAGGTAAGGGGTACTGGGGCTCCCTGGGCAAAGCTTGAGGCCCAGAGTCATGGGGCTTTTGTGGGTTTGGAGTCGGGCTTGCTGCTTCCTGTGGGGTTTAGGGTTTAGGGTTCAGGATTTAGGGTTTGGGGTTTAGGGTTTAGGGTTTAAGGTCTTCTCGCGCAGGAATGCTCCAAGCGGCACATTCCAATGGAGTCCCACTACGCCTCCGCCATCTACCGTGTGACGAAACATCAGGCAGCTACTGGCAAACCCTCAGCGCCAAACCCTAAACCCTAAACCCTAAACCCTAAACCCTAAACCCTAAACCCTAAACCCTAAACCCTAAACCCTAAACCCTAAACCCTAAACCCTTAACCCTAAACCCTAAACCCTAAACCTTAAACGCTAAACCCTAAACCCTAAACCCTAAACCCTAAACCCTAAACCCTAAACCCCCTACCCCCTAAACCCTAAACCCTAAACCCTAAACCCTAAACCCTAAACCCTAAACCCTAAACCCGAAGACCGAAGCCCTAAGCCCTAAGCCCTATACCCTAAACCCTACACCCTAAACCCTAAACCCTAAACCCTAAACAAGCCTCCATCCACGAACCCTACGAGCTGGAAACAGATGATAGGGTTTCGCCCTAGATCCTCAACTAAAGTGCTATGTCAAGTTCTTACAGTGCCCTGAATGCTGCTAAAACGCCCAAACACGCAAAACCCTAAACCCTAAACCCTAAACCCTAAACCCTAAACCCTAAACCCTAAACCCTAAACCCTAAACCCTAAACCCTAAACCCTAAACCCTACACCCTACACCCTAAACCCTAAACACTAAACCCTAAACCCTAAACCCTAAACACTAAACCCTAAACCCTAAACCTTAAACGGCTTGACGTCTAGGGTTTCGGGCTTAGGACTTCGGCTTTTCGTGGCTTGCCACGATTTGCTGAAGTAACTCAAAAAAGAAGTCACCCCCAAGCGAATCCTAGTTTGGGGGTTTGGGGATCCCCAGGCACCAGCTGATAGGGCTTAGGGTTTACGGTTTAGGGTTTCGGGTTTAGGGTTTCGGGTTTTGGGCCTAGGGTTTAGGGTTTAGGGTTGAGGTCTCCGAAGCCCAAATTATTGAAGAAAAAGAAGAAGAAGAGGGAGTCGGCCAGGTCTTTGCTCTAAGTAAGTCGCTAACCTGGGGCCATGGGTCTTTCGGGTTTGTAGAGTTTCTTTGGGGGCCTTTGGTGTACATGTACATCTCCAACCTCCAGAACTCTGAGCTGCCAGGGCGTGCCCTACGTCTGCGTCTGCATGTCGGCGCCCACGTACGCCGTAGCGCGAATGCCGGGCTGCGACGTGACTGGGCTCCACGCCAGTATTCCTTTGTAACCGCTTTGGGCGTTGGGTGTTGCGAATTGGCGTCGCTGTTGCATAAAGCCTGAAGCCCTTCACCCTAAACCCTGCACCCCAAGCCCAAAACCCTAAACCCCCCCCCCCCCCAAACCAAAACCACAGAGTGCCCCCAGAAGCCTAAACCCTAAACCCTAAACCCTATCCCTAAACCCTAAACCCTAAACCCTAAACCCTAAACCCGAAACCCTAAACCCTAAACCCTAAGCCCTAAACCCTAAACCCTAAACCCTAAACCCTAAACCCTAAACCCTAAACCCTAAACCCGAAACCCTAAACCCTAAACCCTAAACCCTAAACCTTCATCCGACCTAGCTCCTTGCACTCAGGTGCCCTCCCCTGAGGGCTACGGCGTACAGGATGGCTCCCCGACAGCAGCGGGTGTGCTTTAGGGAATCGAGGGAGCTGTCGTCCTAGGTCGGATGAAGGTTTAGGGTTTAGGGTTTAGGGTTTAGAGTTTAGGGTTTAGGGCGAACCCTGAAAAGGGAACCCGTCTCAACCCTCTTCTGGCTCTCTGAAACAGGGTCCTTCTTGAGAGGGTCTACATCCCCAAAGGGTCCCCCTGATCGGGAGCTTGAGGGAGTTCAGGAGGTTGCGGGGGTTGTGAGGAAGTTGCGGGAGTTTGGGGAGCTTAGGGGTGCCTTTCTCTTCAAAGCCCTGAACTGCAAGCTCCATGTAAGTCAGCAAGAAATTCTAAACCCTAAGCCCTAAACCCTATACTCTAAACCCTATACCCCATACCCAAAACCCTACACTACACTTTTTTTGGAACCTTAAACCTACAGCCCGAAACCGTAAACCCTAAACCCTAACCCTAAACCCTGAAGCCCAAACCCTGCACCTTTTTGGCCCTCAGGTTTGAGACCCACATCCCAAGCCTTGAAGCTTCCAGTCCCCAATCCTGAACCGGAGGGTTTCGGGCTTGTTAAACTGTTAGGGTTCAGGGTTTAGGGTTTCTGGGTTTAGGGTTTCTGGGTTTCGGGTCCAGGGTCTAGGTTTCGGGAACCATTCCTGCAACTAGGCAGCACTCTGGCGCGCCTTTGGCGACAGAGGTTAAGATTTTAGGAGTCTGGGTTCACAAAGCCCCAAAACCCAACATCCAAAACCCTAAACCCTCAACCCTAACTCTAGACCCTAGACCCTATACCCTAAACCCTAGACCCTAAACCCTAAACCCTAACCCTAGACCCTAGACCCGAGACCCTAAACCCTGAGGGGGATGAGGGTGTAGGTGATGTTTGGGCGCCCGAGCCGGCCCCTCCTCCAAGGGCACGCGCCCCCCCGATATTCCTAAGCCCTAAGGCCCTAAGCCCTTACGCACAACTTCCTAAACCCTAAGCCCTGTGTAAAGTGGGTTTAGGGTTTAGGGTTTAGGGTCCCAGGATTCGTCTGGCTTCGCATCGACGACTTTGTGCAGCTCTTCGATACCATCTACGAGCGGCCCAGCATGCAGCCCAAAATGCGCAAACCCCAAAAGTCCTTAAAACTTTGCAACCGGCCAACCCCAGTGGGACACAGCTTAGGGTTTAAGGTTTAGGGTTTAGGGTTTAGGGTTTAGGGTTCAGGGTTATGTTAGCGTCTGCAGTCTGAGGGGAGGGGGCTTTGCAAGGAGCAGGTTTCAGGAAAGTCAGGCGGTTCCCAGGAAGGTCCCAGGCAGGTGGCAGGAGGGCCCGGAGTCGCCAGGGGGGGTTCCCCCCCCCCCCCCCCCCCCCCCCCTTCCCCCCGTGTTTTCGGGGGTAAGGAGGTCTCACATCCGAAACCCATCCAACACGACGCTCGGGTCGGCGGATCTCTACAACCCTAGTGCCTAAACCCTAGACCCTAGACCCTAAACCCTAAACCCTTAACCCTAAACCCTTAACCCTAAACCCTAAACAACGCTCGAAAGAGTCAAGATAAGGCTCGGCCTCCTGACCTCCACCAAAGAGTTGAGTGTTCCGAGTTATTCGGAAATATATGGGGTTAGGGTTTAGGGTTTAGGGTTGGATGGGGTTGGATGTTCCCCCTTGTAGTAGCAGTCCTTGATAGGGATTGCAATAGGGGGTACTCTAATCCTTTTTAAGGACTGCCAGTCTAAGGGGCAACATCTCAAGATGGGTTCGTAGCATTAGGGGCTCCTTCCTTAGGCACGCTTTGGACGCATCTACCTGCAAACTGTTGACCCGAATTCTTCACGCCCATGTCTTCCAAAAGCAGCTTCTCTCGCAAACCCTAAGAAAGGGTTCGGCTTTGAGCTATGCAGGCGTTTGCGATTTCTAGGGTATTTGGTGTTCATTCCCAGTTCTGAGGGCATTGGGCTTAAACCCTAAACCCCAAACCCTCAACCCTAAACCCTGAACCCTAAACCCTAAACCCTAAACCCTAAACCCTAAACCCTAAACCCTAAACCCTAAACCCTGAACCCTAAACCCTAAACCCTAAACTCTACATGACTTAAGTTTGTTCAGGTGCCGGCTCGTCAACTCAGACTTAGGTCCACGCCCAGGCCCCGAACAGTTTAGGGTTTAGGGGCTTTTGGGGCTTTTGGGGTTTAGGGGTTTAGGGGTTTAGGGTTTAGGGTTTACGGGTTTAGGGTTTAGGGTTTCGGGTTTAGGGCTTAGGGCTTAGGGGGTTGGGGTTTAGGGTTTAGGGGTTAGGGGTTTTGGGGTTTCGGAAGCTCTTTCGATGTTTGGTGAGGGTCTGTTGGGTTTTGCGTTTAGGGTGGTGGGCCCATCGTGTAGACGACATCAAAATCTCTGTTTTTGTCTACAAAAACCCCATAACACACACACACACACACATCCTGCTGGGGTCAAAGAAATCGTTCAGGGCATCGGGGAGTGCTTGTGCACTGTAGAGGGAGAGCTGCCGCATCATGTTGCACGGCATCAGTGGTCCAGCTGGTCGATCCTTGCATCGGAACTGCAATGGAAATCAATCGGTTCCGTGGAGAGTTCTTCATTTCTGTCGAACTTCTTTCCCTGCCGGCAGGGTGTGGAGTTCGAAGGTGATCTGTACCCAACTTCTGCGCATGCGTACCAAGCCGCCAAGATCGAGGACCGGGACGGAAGCGTTCACATTGGGCGGGTCTCTGGGTGACAACCCCATGGATGCAAAAGCAGAGGGCAAGACGGTCCAGAACCGTCCGGATTGGGATAACCTGAAAGTGGACGTGATGTTGGTCGTTGTTCGCTCAAAGTTCGCCAGGGATGCGGACTTGCGCAAGAAGTTGCGTGCCACACGTGGTCAACAGCTTGCGGAAGGTCACGCGGGCGACAGATTCTGGGGCGGAAGGAGGAACCATCTCCGCAACATCTCATGCGTGTGCGGGATGAACTTCCAGAAGCAACGACCCAGACGGAGGCTCCAGATCAGGAGGATGAGGCCGAAAGAAACGAAAGTCGCAGAGCTGAGTTTCAAGACCTGCTGGATGCATGGATGGAGCAGGGTGAGCCAGAAGGTTCAGCCAGTTCAACCGATGAAGCATCCGGCGCGGATTAGGTACCTGGTGGACCCTGAGCTCGGAAGACAGCCGCCCCTACAACCCCATGCTTCAAGCCCTAAAACCTTGAGTCCTAAACCCTAAGCCCCCAAAGACCTTTGCACCAGTCAGAGCTCTACGTGTTGAGTTGGATTGTCGTGGCCTTTTGGGGGTTTCTGTTTATGTTGGGAAAATGGGGCCGCCAATTGTTGCTACCGCAAGTTTCTAAAACGCTTTTATGCTCAGCAGTGTAGTTCCCGATTTCCTCGTCTCCAAAAGTATAGGGTCCCCCTGTTTAAGCCTACAGCCCCAGCAGAATCCACCTCAAAAGGGACCCCCCCCAAAAAGACCCTAGGGTTTAGGGTTTTGGGCTATGCTTTCCGGAAGCCCCCCCCAAAGCTCTTTCGTACTATCAAGCATGTACAGCACTCTGCTGGGCAATGGGCCAGCCCGTCACCGGTCGTTCCTGATCACCTGGTCGTTCTGGTCGTTCTTCTTCAACCTGGTGAATAACATCGTGACTGGGCCATTGTTGGTACACAATCCTTAATTTCGAGGAATACTCCAAGCCCTATATTGAAGTTTTCCCTCGACTCTTCAGCCAAACCCAAGCCCACCATCCACTTTGAATAAGAACCGTGGGCTACCCCTGACCTCCCGCATACTTGGAGGTTCATGGTGCTTACTAACCAATTAGAAATGTACGTTTTACCCCACTTATAATACCCCTAAAGGGCCTTATAGGGGTTAGCCCAATTATAAGTAGGGTTATAAGCCCAGTTATAAGTGGCTAGTAAGTCCCATGAACCTCCCTCATACCCCAGGGACGACCCAACTTGATGTTTGCCTTCGCCCCCTAAATGCCAAGTGGGCTCCCCCGCCTGAAGCCCTTCAACTCGAAGCCCACCTAAACCCATCTCCCCCCCGGTTAAAACCCCGACCGCGCTTGAAAGGGTAAGCTTCAAAACGAATGTTCTTGGGGTCACAAGGAGGCCGCGTGGGGGGGGGGGGGTAGCAGGTCAAAACTGGCCCCGTTCCAGTTCAATGATGCAAGGAGTTTGAAGTCAGCAACGACCCCATAGCCAGATTTTGCGGCCAGTGCCTCTTAAAGCTTCCGAAGCCGCCTTCTTAAGCAGGCTTCCTTCTAAGGAGCCTTCAAGCCTCCCAAACGCTTCGGAGCCGTTCAGGGGCTTGCCAGGGGCTTCTACAAGATCCTCGCGAACCTTTCACGACCCAGATTTCGGGGCTTGCGGGGGCGGAGCCAGGTGGTTTCGCGTGAAACTTGGGCACGCCTCTAGCTTTCTCCGGGCCTCTCCATGAACTTCTTTGGTCGAGGGGGGGGGGGGTGGTATCTTTAATTGTTAAGGCAAAATAGATTTCGGTCAAAACTCCGACCCCGCCTTGAAAGGCAAAATCTTGCAGCTTGTTTTTGTTCCGAGGCCGTTCTGTTATTCTGGTGGCAGCCAGCTAGTTTCACGCAAAACTTGGACAAACCCTAAACCCTAAACCCTAAACCCTGAACCCTAAACCCTAAACCCTAAACCCTAAACCCTAAACCCTAAACCCTAAACCCTAAACCCTAAACCCTAAACCCTAAACCCTAAACCCTAAGCCCTAAGCCCTAAAACCCTAAACCCTAACCCTAAAACCCTAAACCCTGAACCCTGAACCCTGAACCCTGAACCCTGAACCCTGAACCCTGAACCCTAAACCCTAAACCCTAAACCCTAAACCCTAAACCCTACCCTACTTCCGGGAGCCGGGAGCATTAATCTGAACCCTCAGTGTCCCCGCCCTGTTATTCTGGCGGCAACCAGGAGCCTCTATTCTACTATATTATACTATATTATACTATATCATGCTATATTATACTATATTATACTATATTATACTATATTATACTATATCATACTATATTACACAGGTGGTTTTGCGTGAAACCTGCTGCTCGGGCTTCTCCGGGCCTCTCCAGGAAGTGGACGTGGCGGCAGCCACGCAGTTTCACGCACAACCTGGACCCTGTCTGCGGCGGCAGCCAGGTAGTTTCGCGCAAAACCTGGACCCTGTCTCTGCTCCGAGAGTAGTCTTGCGCAAAATCTGGACCCCCCAATTCTATCAATAAGGTGGGCTTTTCGAAAAATTGCTCTTAACGGTCTGCGCGTAAGTTCAGTTGCATCTTTCGGCCACAACTGAGCTTCCGCGCGACAAAGAGCCCATCCGAAACTGTGGCGTGTGGATCGTCTGGCTTGTAATTGTAATTCCGTGTACTTGTATGATAGAGAAGGTGGTAAGAAAAGCAAAAACTGACTAAACAACGAATATCGGGAGGGTCGTGCGGGCAGCAAGCAGCCGCGCGTGAGGCTTAGCACCCTAAACTCGAACCCCTGAACCCAAACCCTTAACAAGCCTAAGCCCTAAGCCCTAAACCCCAAAACAGAGCGGCCCAGGTAGGCGCTGGGTTTCTGGCGCTTCCCTGGTGCCTCAAGGAGACTTTGGCTTCGTTTTCATAAGCACCCAAGGATATAGGGTTTAGGGTAAGTGAGGGTTTAGGGCTGAAGGTTTGCTGTTTCAATTCAATGTTGCTTCCAAAACTTCCTCTGTCTAGGTGTTCCCTGATCCAGAGTTTGTGCGAGGTACCCAGGATTCGGGAAAAAGTGCTATTTGACGGGGGGGTCCCAGGTCCCAGAAAAACTTACTTGGGGCCCCTGGCTCCCTAAACCTAAACCCTAAACCCTAAACCCTAAACCCTAAACCCTAAACCCTAAACCCTAAACCCTAAACCCTAAACCCTAAACCCTAAACCCTAAACCCTAAACCCTAAACCCTAAACCATAAACCATAAACACTAAACCCTAAACCCTAAACCCTAAACCCTAAACCCTAAACCCTAAACCCTAAACCCTAAACCCTAAACCCTAAACCCTAAACCCTAAACCCTAAACCCTAAACCCTAAACCCTAAACCCTAAACCCTCAACCCTAAACCTAAACCCTAAACCCTAAGGCTTGAGGAGTCCCAGAAAGATCCTAAGAGGGATCGTTGATCGTGGTTTTAGGGCGGCCATGGGCCAATTTTCAGGTTTTTTTTTGTTTTTGGGTTTAGGGGCTGGGTTTCGGGCTTTGGGACTGAGGGGAGAAGGTATTTAGGGCTTTGTGAATTTGGGGGGTTTAGTGTTTGCGGGCTTAAAGGTTACGGATTTGGAGTTTAGACGTCTCGGGATTTTGGGGGGTTTTGGATCTCATCTGGGGTCCAGTTCCACATATAAGCAGTTCCATGACAAGAGGTACGCTGACTTCGGGACCAAACTTTATTTCATCAATGATTCCTAGGTTTCAGCTTATCGGTTTTTCATGGTCAAGCCTTGGGTTCACATGAACCCTAAAATGGGACCTATATCCTACAATTATGCTTCCTATGAGGGTATATGAGCCACAAACCCTTTTAGGGCTCATTTGGTCCTCAGGGAGGCACTGTGCCTGAGCGGAGAAAATAGTTCAGTGGATGGGATGAATCGTTTTGCACACCCTCAACGCAAAACCCTAGTTCCTCAACCCTAAATCCTGAAGCCTAAATCCTAAATCCTCAACCCTAAATCCTAATTCGGCCCTAAATCCTAAACCCGCAATCCCCAACCCTCAGCCCTAAACCGCACTTAGAGCCCAGGAGATCCAGTCCATCCAGCAAGTCCCGGAGGGTGCTGCCCCTGTCATCTTCTTACTCATGCTGGCTATGGTTGGATTCATGAATTGCTTTTCCTTTTGGCTGCTGGGCCGCGCGTGTGAGCATGTGAGAACGGCGACACAGGAGGCGACGTACATTCTAGTTGTGAGGGAGCTGTTGCCGTGTCCATTGTGGCCAATTGCCGGCGCGGCATGCCTCCTGTACCCTGTGGGGACCTGCGTGACATACGTCAAGTTGACGCATGACAGCTTGTTTCTAGACCACGTCTTGCAACTTGTTCTTTTTTTCAACTTCGGCTAACCCTAACCCCTGCGCCTCCAAGCCCTAAGCTAAGCCTTCAAACCCTAAACCCTGAAAGCTCTGCAAGCCCCACACAGGGGGTCTAAGAAAGGTTCCTTAAGCCCTAAACGTTACAAACTCTGAGCCCCAACCCTAAACCCTAAACCCTAAACCCTAAACCCTAAACCCTAAACCCCAAACCCTAAGCCCTAAACCCTAAACCCTAAACCCTAAACCCTAAACCCTAAACCCTAAACCCTAAACCCTGAACCCTGAACCCTGAACCCTGAACCCTGAACCCGAAACCCCCCAACCCTAAGCCCCGAGCCCTAGAAGCAGCTGAGGTTCGGGAATCAGAAAAAGCCTGGTTTGATTCCAGATTTGTCGCATGCTTCTTGGCTTCAGCTGTGGCCCAGCGCCCATCGCAACATGATCCTTGGTTGTGGTTTTGGGTTCAGGGTTTTAGGGGGTGTCCGGGCTTTAGGACTTTTCGGGTTCAGGGTTTTAGGGTTTAGGAGTTTAGGGTTTAGGGTTCCAGGATTAGAGATTTTAGGGGTTCGGGTTGAAGGCTTAAGGCATATAGGCTCTAGGGTTTAGGGGGTCAGGGGTGCGGTGTCCAAGTCTACAGGGCTAAGGGTTCAGGGGTTTAGGGTTTAGGGTTTAGGGTTTAGGGTCTAGGGTTTAGGGTTTAGGGTTTAGGGTTTAGGGTCTAGGGTGAAATTTGCATTAAGCAGTTTGGTTCCCCCCTTGTTGTGGTTACTCCGTTTAATTCCCGACCAGAAGCGTCCAGGATCGGTCTTGTGCTTCTCACACTGTTTGTCATCGGGCTTGTGTGGCTCTGGCAGAGTAGGGCGCAGCCACGCCTGTGCGACCTCTACATCCTCCTCTGCGCGAGCATCGCCGGTGTCTTCACGGTCTTGTTGGTGGGGTTGCGAGCAGAAGACCATGGGAGCTCATTGAAGGTAGGGCCCTACAACCCTAAACCCTGCACCTTACACCTTTGGTGGTAGCCCTTCTGTCCAGTTCGGCTTCTGGGTTCCCGCGGGTTCCCTTACATATAAAAGGTAACCAGCCCCCCCAAAAAGGGTACCCTGTTACTGGGTGACCAAGCCCCCAAGCCTTCAGCAAGGTGATCACGCTGGCAGCGCTGTTCTTGTATCTGCCCCTGTCATGTTTGCGGGACATCAAGCCCCTGCGTCTGGCTTCGGCGATTGCCGTCCTTTCAGGGTTCGTTCTCGTCTCCGTGGCTCTCTCTTATGGACCCCAGGACGGACACGACGCGTCGCGGCCGGCAAGTGGCAGCCTTTCCTTCTGCTCTTGCAACCCTAAACCCTCAACTCCAAACCCCTAAACCCTAAACCCTAAACCCTAAACCCTAAACCCTAAACCCTAAACCCTAAACCCTAAACCCTAAACCCTAAACCCTAAACCCTAAACCTTAAACCCTAACCCCTAAACCCTAAACCCTAAACCCTAAACCCTGTTGATGCTTTAAGCTGTTTTAAGATCTGGGAGTTGGTCCCTGGCCCTTCAAACAAAGCCTCCTGCGAAGCTTTGGGGTAGCTGGTCGTTTCCGTTTTTTTATTCGTTTCTTTGTCGGGGGGGGGGGGTTTGGGGTGGGGGGGGGTGGTGGTGGGGGGCTGGGGGGGGGGGGGGGGGGGGGGGGGGGGGCGGGGGGGGTGGGGGGGCGGTGGGGGTGGGGGGTGGGGGGAGGGGGGGGGTGGGGGAGGGGGTGTCGGGGGGGGATAAGAACATCACTCATATTACGCCCATGCCAAAAACACTGGTATTTACAGCATTTTCGCTTCTTCGTACAACATACGGCACCAGGATGTGGAACAAGAAAATCTGTCACGAGCGTCCATGCCTGTCGTGACCATGCCCAAAACACTGGTATTTACAGCGCTTTATGCCCAAAACGCTGGTTTTCGCCTCTTTGTACAACATACTGCACAAGGACGTGGAACAAGAAAATCTGTCACAAGCGTTTACCTTGCACTAAAAAAACTCAAACATGCAGTCCCAAAAAGAATAGCTTCAGTAAGAACTCCCAACCATGAGAATAGTTTTGGAACCCCGAAAAACAGCTTTTCTGCTCCGTACCGCGCCTGCCAGTACGAACAACGTGTCGCGCAGAGCTCGTACCCAGGCAAAATACAGCGCGTTAACCGGGTAGTAACAGCGTCTATCACATAAGAACCCTTTAAAGGAGGTTAGAGACCATATTAAGGGGCCCATGAAACGACCCTCAGATGTGGGCGCAGCACCCGAACTATAGGCTGAGCAGGCTTTTGCTCAGCAATGTTGTAACAGATCGTTCATACGCACCCGGCAAATGCGGTGCTGACGCAGGTCGTGACCCTAGACCCTAAACCCTAAACCCTAAACCCTAAACCCTAAACCCTAAACCCTAAACCCTAAACCCTAAACTGAGACCCTAACATTTTCTGAGGAGCCTTTAGCCTCATGACATGCCTTCTGCGACACCAAGGGCACGTCCACGGAGCCCTCAACAAGCGCGGCCGCGGTCTGCAAAATCTACAAGGAGGGGTTTAGGGCATGTGGTTCAGGGTTAAGGTGTTGAGGGTTTAGGGTTTGGGGCTAGGGTGGAGGGTCATGTTTGTTTTAGGGTCCAAAGGATTAGAGGATTTTGCGGCTTTATTCCCCACCTTCGGTGTGGGGTTGTTAGATTTTAAACTCAACTCTTCTCCTCGCCCGGAACTCTTCTCCTCGCCCGGTCTACTCCTAGAGACTCCCTGGAGTGCCCAACCCCAGAAACTCCCTGGAGTGCCCAACCCCAGAGACTCCCTAAAGTGCAACTCCTGGAGTGCCCAACCAGAGTCTCAGTGCCCAACACCAGAGTTTCCCTGGAGTGCCCAACCCCCCCCTGAGTCCCAGACCCGAGTCTCCCAGAGTGCCTAACCCGAAACTCCGGGAGCGCCCAACCCCAGAGTCTCCCTGAAGTGCCCAACCCCAGAGTCTCCTTAGAGTGCCCAGCCCCAGTGTCAGAAACTCTTGAATGCCCAACCCCAGAGTTTCCCTGGAGTGCCCAACCCCAGAGTCTCCCTGGAGTGCCCAACGGAGCCAACTCCAGTTGCAAGCACATACTAAGAAAGCGTATCTGAATCAGCGTGTCTTTGTTTGAACATCTTATTCTTGCGCTCCTTCCTGTTAGCGAGGAGCAAGGTGGGGATGTTCGAAGTAAGAAAACTAGGAGCACTTTAGTTGGTTTTGAAGGTCCATCTTGTGGGGTTTGGGGGCTTAGGGCCTCGAGCCCCCAAGAGGCTTTAGGGTCTAGGGCTGAGGCTTTTCGGGTTTAGGGTTTAGGGTTGAGGGTTTAGGGTTTAGGGTTTAGGGTTGAGGGTTTAGGTGGGTATATCCTGTTGAAGATTCCTTTCCTCCCAAGGTCTGGTCCATCCTGGTAGTCTCATTCACGGCGCACTACAATGCCCCGCAATATTACCGCGAGTTGGGACGCGGAAATCGACTGGAGGAGTTTTGGAAGGGCACTTTCAGCTCCTTTGTCTTCGTCTTCGTGGCATACTTCCTCTGCGCCTGGCGAGGCTATTGTCTATATGGCTCGCGCACCCAACAGGACCTCCTGGACAACTTCGCAGACGCAGGCTCAGACGTGGCTCCCATGGCACACGGCGCGTACCTCCTCATTGTCTGGGCCGACTTCCCGAAGATCTTGAATGGCGTGCGCGAGCTCAGCCAGGGCCTCCTGTGTCCTTGTTTGGATCCAGAAAATCCAAGTCTACCTGTGCGCACTTCCTGCTGACTGCTCTTCTGACATGCTTCCCATTGGTGGGCTGGTTCATGAACCTGTCAACCATTCTTGAATTCAAGGGAGCGCTGTTTGGCTCCCTTATGGTCCACGTCTTCCCTGCCGCCATGTTCTTGTTCGGTAGAAATGTGCAGCCCAGCCAATCCGAGAATCTTCTCTTCGAGAAGATTCTTTGCTGGATTCTGCTGATTCCGGGGGCTGCTCTGTTTGTGTGTGGGGTTGTGCAGGCTGGGCAGCGACTGGTTTGATCAATATGAGAACGCCTGCCTTTCTCACCGGGCAAGGACGGAGCCAGGAAAAGGATTGCTCCTCCCTGCGGTAAAATCCTAACATCCTAAATTCCAAAATCCCCCAAACCCCAAGCCCCAAGCCCTAAACCCTAAACCCTAAAAAAAAACGGACAGGCGGGCTGACGCCGGGCTGGGTGCCCGGGGAGCCGTACTTCGAGGAGATCTATGCCTTCCAAGGCGCGGGTTCGTCCCTTTATTCGTAGGCATATACCCCATACAGGTAAAGACCCTAATTTCCCACCCTTTTCTAGGGAGCCTGGACCCCGAACCCATTACTGGAGAAAGAATGGTCACTAAACCCTAAACCCTAAACCCTAAACCCTAAACCCTAAACCCTAATTCAGCCCCTGGGGCTGACCTTGCTTTGGGACCGCTCAAGTGGTGCCTTATTTTTGTTACATCCCCTGAAAAGGTTCCCTGGTGCGCCCCCTGGGATGTTTGTGGAGTGCTTCGTTCTTTCTTGAAGATGGGAATTGAGGGAGGTGCAAATTATCGGGATTGCCCCCTCCCCCCCCCCTCCCTCCCTCCCCTCCCCCCTCCCCCTCCTCCTCCCCCCCCCCCTCCTCCCCTACCCCCTCTCCCCCCCTCCCCGCTCCCCCACACTCCTGCACCGGAACCACCCTAAACCCGAAACGGGTGGCACCCCAAGGCCCTCAAGCACCCCAATCGGGTTTTGGTTTAGGGTTCTTCGGGTTCTTCGGGTTCTTCGGGTTCTTCGGGTTCTTCGGGTTCTTCGGGTTCTTCGGGTTCTTCGGGTTCTTCGGGTTCTTCGGGTTCTTCGGGTTCTCAGGTTCTTGGGGTCTAGGGGTTTAGGGGTTGATAATTTACGGTTTCGGGTTCTTCGGGTTTAGAGTCTTTGGGGGTTTCGGCATCAGGGTCTGGGTCTGGGGTTCATTCTTTTAAACCCTAAACCCTACTGTAACGCCTAAACCCTTCACCCTTCATGCATGGAGTTCAAGGCGATGTCTACTCAGAGACTGCCCCAAGCTTCATGATGGAGATCTTGGACACGCCGTGCGAGATGACGATGGAGGCAAGAGACTCAGGGTTGGGACCTTTGTTTCAGAGGCAAGAAAAACAAACCCCAAACCCTAAACCCTAAACCCGAAACCCGAAACCCTAAACTTAAAACCCAAAGACCTCAAGCTCTGCAACTGAAGACCTAATCCTGAACTCCACAGTGTTACCCCTATCGCCCTTAACCCTAGAGGAAATTTGTATGGGAACCCCCACCTACAGGAAGGGCCCCCCAGGAATAGCAATAGCAGGTATACCGTACGAATGGCACCAGGTCGTTCCTTTGGCCGGCGCTTCCTTTTTTTTGGGTGGGGCCGGAAGGAGGGTCTGTTTCTGCTAGCTTGTAGGGAAGCATGGTAAACCCCAAAACTGCAGCCCTATGCCCCAAAACCCCCCCCCCCCCCCCCGTCCCACCACCCCAAGGGTTGGGGTGTTGAGGGTTTCAATAGATGTACTCCTAACCCCCGCAACCCCAAGCCCTACATAAACCCTAGACCCTAAACCCTAAACCCTAAACCCTAGACCCTAAACCCTAAACCCTAAACCCTAAACCCTAAACCCTAAACCCTAAACCCTAAACCCTAAACCCTAAACCCTAAACCCTAAACCCTAAACCCTAAACCCTAAACCCTAAACCTTCCTTGGGAGGTGACCCAGACAGACCTGCGCTATGGCGACTCCCAGGAGACTCCTGAGCTGGGGAGGCGGCGCAGAGGGTTTAAAGTGAAGGGTTTAGGGTTTAGGGTTTAGGGTTTAGGGGTTTAGGGGTTTTAGGGGTTTTAGGGGTTTAGGGGTTTAGGGGTTTAGGGGTTTAGGGGTTTAGGGGTTTAGGGGTTTAGGGGTTTAGGGGTTTAGGGGTTTAGGGGTTTAGGGTTTAGGGTTTGGGGTGTAGGGTTTGGGGTGTAGGGATTAGGGTTTAATTTTAGGCTGCTGAGGTTTAGGGTTTAGGGTTTAGACTACGTCACAGGTTATGGTTTAAGGCCCTACAAGCCCTAGACTCACTAAACCCGTTGCCCCAAGCCGCAAACCCCACACATAAGCCCTGAACTATGTAGATCCTAAAAGCAACACATTTCCACCCCAAACCCCAAACTCCATAAGCCCTAATGCCTACCCTAAACCCTAAACCCTAAGCCCTAAACCCTAAACCCTAAACCCAAAACCCTAAACCCTAAACCCGGTGCGCTAGAGCCTTAAACCATAAACCCTAGACCCGATGAGGCCTACACCCCTCGAGCCTTAAATTAAACCCTTAAAACCCTAAACCCTAAGCCCTAAACATCCCTAAGCCCTTAAGCCCTAAACCCCAAACCCTAAACCCTGAACCCAAACCCCCAAACCCTAGACCCTGAACCCTAAACCCTAAACCCTGAACCCTAAACCCTAAACCTAAACCTAAACCCTAAACCCTAAACCCTAAACCCCAAACCCTAAACCCCAAACCCTAAACCCCCAAGTATGGCAGAGCAGGCCCATGCAGGCGCCCTTGCTGCTGCGCTTCTTCCAGTGCAGCGCGGAGGCGCGCGGGCCCGGGGAGACGGCCAACTGTGGGGCTTTTAGGGTTTGTCGGGTTTTTAGGGATTTTAGGGTTTGTAGGGTTTTTAGGGTTTTTAGGGTTTTTGAGGGTTTTGAAAGGGTTTTGAGGGTTTTTAGGTTTTTAAAGGGTTTTTACGGTTTAGGGTTCAGGGTTTGGAAGGTTCTTAAAGCTATGGGGTAAGAAGCCTTTCTCAAGTTCCTTGAAGAGGGATAGAGTATTTTGAGGGTATATTCGTCCGGAAGCTTTTGTTTGAGGTTTTGTGATCGGGGTTTCCTTCAACCCTAGACCCTAAACCCTAAGCCCGAAACCCTCAACCCTAAACCCTAAACCCTAAACCCTAAACCCTAAACCCTAAACCCTAAACCCTAAACCCTAAACCCTAAACCCTAAACCCTAAACCCTAAACCCTAAACCCTAAACCCTTCACTTTTCCGAGGTGGATGACAATGGCGGCGGCGAGATCTACATGGTCCATCTGTCGGCTTGGGGTCACACGCGCGACGCGAGCCTCAGCACCAAGGCCCGGGTTAGGGTTTAGGGTTTAGGGTTTAGGGTTTAGGGTTTAGGGTTTAGGGTTTAGGGTTTAGGGTTTAGGGTTTAGGGTTTAGGGTTTTTAGGGTTTAGGGTTTAAGGGTTTAGGGGTTCAGGGTTTAGGGTTTAGGGTGCAACCGTGCGGGAGGAGGGGGGGGGTGGGGATTTAGACTTTAGGGCTTGGGGGGGGGCGTTTAGGGGTTAAGGACGTTGGGGTCTGGGGTTAGTGTTTACATGGTTGTATGTGGGCATGCCCGAAAATGGGGACCCCCCCCCCATACCGCGTTGGGCATTTTCGGGCTTTTGGGTTTTTTACGTCACAGACTTAAAGCCCCCAAACCCCAAAACTGTGAAGCCCTACATCCTCAATCTCAGAGACTTTATGCCCTAAAGCCCAAAAACCCTAAAACCCTGCAGGTATGAAAGACTAAACCCTAGACCCCTGAAACCCCCCAAAACCAAACAAAAACTGAAAGCCTAAACTCTGGACCTGAAACCCTAAAACCCTGAAAGCCTGAACACTAGACCCCTGAAACCCCCTAAGACCCTGAAACCCTAAACCCTAAAACCCGAAGCTTTGCACAACACCCTAAGCCCTAAACGCTAAGCCCTAAGCCCTAAGCCCTAAACCCTAAACCCTAAGCCCTAAACCGTAAACCCTAAACCCATTGAGGGTTCAGGTTCAGTGGGCGACTTCGGGCTTCGTACCCGGGAGGTAGCATGCAACATTGCGCACCACAAGCCGGCTTTGTAGGGTCTAGGGTTCAGGGTTTGGGGTTGAGGGTTTCGGGTTTACCCTAAACCCTAAACCCTAAACCCTAAACCCTAGACCCTAAACCCTAAACCCTAAACCCTAAACCCTAAACCCTAAACCCTAAACCCTAAACCCTAAACCCTAAACCCTAAACCCTAAACCCTAAACCCTAAACCCTAAACCCTACGCCTACGCCCCGAACCCTGTGTCTGAAGTGTTAAGCCTCAAACCTCATGGGTTCCTACTACCCTCCTCTATACTACCTCCAAGGTTCCCATAGTTAAGGCTTATTTAGGGCTGCTTAAGCCTAACAGTTTTGGGTTTAGGGTGTAGGGGTACTACCCCCCTCTATACTACCCCCCCGAGGTTCCCCCCCCCCATAAGTAAGGCCTATTAGTTAAGATGAATTGAGGTTCATTCGACAAACCCTTCCAGGTGCTGAAGCCGGGGAAGTATCTCGCCATGATTTCCATCCCGGCTCAGCAGCTTGGAAACATTCTTGGGGTTGTGGGCTTTAGAGGTCAAGGGTTTTGGATTTGGGTTTCAAGGTCTGCAGCCCTAAGCCCCAAACCCTAAACCATAAACCCTAAACCCTAAACCCTAAACCCTAAACCCTAAACCCTAAACCCTAAACCCTAAACCCTAAACCTCAAACCCTAAACCCCAAACCCTAAACCCCAGGAAGGTTTCAGGGCTGCCAAGGTACACCTGCCACCGGATGATCTTCAGATGCTACTCCACGCGCCCGCTGGCCACCTGTGCTGAGATTCAACTCCCGGTTTGTTTAGGGTTTAGGGTTTGGGGTTTGGGGTTTGGGGTTTGGGGTTTGGGGTTTGGGGTTTGGGGTTTGGGGTTTGGGGTTTGGGGTTTGGGGTTTGGGGTTTGGGGTTTGGGGTTTGATAGGGTTTAGGGTTTAGGGTTTAGGGTTTAGTGCTTATTTCTTAGGTTTATGGTTTAGAAGTTCAGGGTTTCGTTAGCGTTCAGGGAGCAGGTTTAAGTCTCGAGGCTCGTGTGGGATTTAGAACTGTCAACAGCTGAAGGCGTACAGCACCTGCAGCAAGACTTTCAGACACGTTCTATATAAGTGTCCCGTCCGCCTCCTGAGCCGTGAAGCTCTTAAAGCTCCCACCCAAAGCCCTCAACCGGCCCTAATGCCCCTTAACCGCTAAAGCCCCCAACGCTGGAACCCTCGAACCCTTGAACCCCTGAACCCCTGAACCCTTGAACCCATGAACCCTTGAACCTTTGAACCTCGGACCCTTGGACCCTTGGACCCTTGAACCCTTGAACCCTTGAACCCTTGAACCCTTGAACCCTTGAACCCTTGAACCCTTGAACCCTTGAACCCTTGAACCCCCGAGCCCTTGAACCCTTGAATCCTTGAACCAGCTCTAACCCCTAACTTTTCAAAGAACGAACCGTAAGGCCTTTTAATGAAAGCTCTCAGGCCTTAAAAACAGCACCTAAACAATAATGCCGCTAAAGCCCGAATTCCCTAAACCCTATCCCGTCCAAAACCCTAAGCCCAAAACCCCCAACCCTAGACCCTCGCTGCCGAGGCCCGAAACCCCAAACCCCCTTGATTCCTTAGAGCCCCTTGAAACATCTTGAAACCCTCAACCCTAAACCCAGAAAACCCTTCAAGCCTCTGGACCCTAACTCTAAAACCCCTGAAACCCTAAACCCTGAAACCCTAAAAACCCTAAACCCTAAAACCCTAAACCCTAAAACCCTAAAACCCTAAAACCCTAAACCCTAAAACCCTAGAGCCCTAAAAACCCAAAAAGCCCAAAACCCCGAAACCCTGAAACCCTAAAACCCTAAACCCCCTAAACCCCTAAAACCTAAACCTAAAAACCCCGAAAACCCTAAACCCTAAACCCTAAACCCTAAACCCTAAACCCTGAACCCTAAACCCTAAACCCTAAGCCGTCTGCCATCAGGTGATGAAGCCGATCACACAGCACCGCTCGTGGATCGCGGTGAACCCGGCGATGCCACTGCTTCTCGGCTTGGTTGTGCACTTTGGGGGTCTGCGGGTTTAGGGTTTAGGGAGGGTTAGGGTTTGGGGTTTAGGGTTTAGGGCTTAGGGTTTAGGGCTTGGAGGGCATTTTGGGGTGTAGCCCCCTCATAACGGTTCCTTTCCAAGGGTTTATCAGGGTTGACAAGGGAGTATGAGGCTTTATAAGGGTAGCTTAGATGGGTTCGCAAGGGCTTATCAGGGTTTCGGGTTTCAAGGGGTTTTGTAACGGTAGGGTGGGGGTATTTTGGAGCTTTGGGGTTTTAGGGCTTCAGGGTTCAGGGCTTGGTGGGTTTGAGGGCTTTAGGGTTTTGGGGTTTAGGGTTTAGGGCTTGGCGGGCATTTTGGGGTTTTAGGGCTGAAAGGGTTCCAGGGTTGCAGGATTTAGGTGTTCAAGGGTTTAGGGCTTTAGGGTGTTTAGGGTTCAATGGCTTTTAGGTTTAACCCTTTTAGGGCGTAAGGTGTTTTAGGGTTTAGAGCTTTTAGCAGGGTTTTTAGGGTTTTCAAGGTTTTCAGGGTTTAAGGGTTAAACCCCCTAAAGCCCCCTAAACCCTAACCCTAGACCCTAACCCCTAACCCCTAACCCTAAACCCCAAACCCTAAACCCTAAACCCTTAACCCTAAACCCTAAACCCTAGGCCGTAGAAAGCCTTCAGCTTCCAGGAGCGCCATCCCTTACTCCCTCTGCGGTTTCCAGCGCGTGGACGCCGTGAGCGAGAAGCTGCCGCAGATGTTCGACGAGGCGTCGGGTCTAGGGTCTAGGGTCTAGGGTCTAGGGTCTAAGGGTTAAGGGTTTAGGGTTTAGGGTTTAGGGTTTAGGGTTTGCGGAGCCCGCTCTGGAGAATCTCCTTGAGTTCTTGGTTGGGGCGAGGGAGGGGGAGCTGGGTTCGGGTTTGAGGCCTGTTTGGTTGTCTCTATTCTTCTTATTGTCGTTATGGGGGTCTGTTTTCTTTAGGTTCAGGGTTTAGGGTAGGGTTTTAGGGGTATTGGGGGTTAGGAATCTAGGGGTTCAGGGCTGAGGGGTTTCGGGGTTAGGGTTTCGTGTTTTTGGGGCTTGGATTGCTGCAAGTAGGTGCGGGGCTCATTAGGGGTTTGGGAGCTCGAAGTCCTAAACCCTAAGCCCTAAACCCTAAACCCCAAACCCTAAACCCTAAACCCTGAACCCTAAACCCTAAACCCTAAACCCTGAACCCTGAACCCTAAACCCGAAACCCTAAACCCTAAACCCTAAACCCTAAACCCTAAACCCTAAACCCCAAACCCTAAACCCTAAACCCTAAACCCTAAGCCCTAAACCCTAAACCCTAAACCCTCAACCATAAACCCTAAACCCTAAACCCTAAACCCAAACCCCAAACCCTAAACCCCAAACCCCAAAACCCCTCAGCTGGCCTCCGGCCCAGGCGGAGGGCCGTGGAAAACCCATGGCCAACGCACAGATTCGACCCGACTTCTCCGGCTTTGCCCTAGGATCGAAGGGTTACCCTAAACCCTAAACCCTAAACCCTAAACCCTAAACCCTAAACCCTAAACCCTAAACCCTAAACCCTAAACCCTAAACCCTAAACCCTAAACCCTGAACCCCAAATCCCAAACCCCAAACCCCAAACCCCAAACCCTAAACCCCAAACCCTAAACCCTGAACCCTAAACCCTAATTAAACCCTAAATCCGAATTAAACCCTAAACCCTAAACCCCAAACCCGAAACCCTAAACCCTAAACCCTTAACCCTAAACCCTAATTAAACCCTAAACCTTAATAAAACCCTAAACCCTAATTAAACCTTAAACCCTAAACCCTAAACCCTAAACCCTAAGCCCTAAACCCTAAACCCTAAACCTTAAACCCTAAACCCTAAACCCTAAACCCTAAACCCTCAACCCTCAACCCTCAACCCTACACCCCAAACCCTAAACCCTAAACACTGGGGAATTTGCGGGAGCTTTGGGCTGGGGGTTAGGGAGTCTCAGCTTCACGGGGTGTCGGATCCAACTTGTGGTTTGAGGTGTTGATGGTTTATTGTTTGCTTCGGGGGGGGGGGGGGGGGGGTTAGGGTTTAGGGCTTAGGGCTTCGGGCTTAGGGTTCAGGGTTTAGGGCTTAGGGCGTCGGGCTTAGGGTTTAGGGTTTAGAGATCAGGGCTTAGGGTTAAGGGTTTAGGGCGAGGTTATGAAAGATCTGGCTTTGCCATAGGACCGAAGGCTTTAGCTTTTCTAAAGGTGCGTCTTCAAGTTTAGGCCCAGGGACCTTAGGGGTTATTCAGGGGCTACGTAGGTATATGGGGACTATCTAATGTAAGAATAGGGGTTTATATTCTCTTCTAGGGGTCCCTCCGTATACCCCTTAGTTGCTTTGCCGGGGCAGCACGTCTTGACTGTGAAGGGCACGACAAAGGAACTGACGTACATCGCCAGCCGATGCAATAGCAATTGCGTCCTGAAGGCCTAAAACCCCAAACCACCCTTAACATGCCTGAACTTGCCTATCTCCTAAACCCTGAATCCTGAAACATGAGACCTAAACCCTCAAACCCTGAAACCCTGAAACCCTGAAACCCTGAAACCCGCAAACCCTCCAACCCTCAAACCCTCAAACCCTCAAACCCTCAAACCCTCAAACCCTCAAACCCTCAAACCCTCAAACCCTCAAACCCTCAACCCTAAACCCTAAACCCTAAACCCTAAACCTTCAAAGCAGTACACCTCCAGGAGCGCCAGGAATGCCCGGCATGCCGGGGATGCCCGGGATGCCTGGCATGCCTGGCATGCCTGGGATGCCGGGGATGAACTTCGGCCGCTGGGCAGAGGGTTTAGGGTTTAGGGTTTAGGGTCTAGGGTTTAGGGTTTAGGGTTTAGGGTTTAGGGTTTAGGGTTTAGGAAACTTTTCTAGGGATTTCAAAGGCTTCGGGTCTAGGGTTCTGCTTCTTCTTCGTGGCTGGTAGCGTCGTCAGACGCACCCTGAATTCGGAGGGCTCGGGTTCAGGTGTTGAGGTTTCAGGCCACCGTTTCAGTACTGACCTACTGCTTCCAAGTAGGAAGTTGAGGAATTCGGGTGCCCTAGTCCTGTGAATCCAACCCTCAGCCCTAAAGACTAGCCCTAAACCCTAAACCCTAAACCCTAAACCCTAAACCCTAAACCCTAAACCCTAAACCCTAAACCCTAAACCCTAAACCCTAAACCCTAAACCCTAACCTAAACCCTAAACCCTAAACCCTAAACCCTAAACCCTAAACCCTAAACCCTAAACCCTAAACCCTAAACCCTAAACCCCAAACCCTAAACCCCAAACCCTGAACCCAAATCTCTACACCCTACACAGCACCGTAAAGAATCCAGCCCGTCCGCAAAAGCGCGAAAGTAGAGGGGATGTGGATGCCCCGCGGATCCCATGCCTCCGTTCAACATATGGGGTTTACGATATTAGGGGTACCTTCTTTGGGGTCGAATCCTACTATTTGGGGGTTTAGACAAGAGGTCCCTGATAATTATTCGTAAACCCAAATAGACACCTACAATGTCACCCATAATGTAACCTAAAAATGTGAGATGTGCATTTTCTTAAATCAAGATAGGTCGGGCTTCTTGGCCCCAAACCCCCTAAACCCTAAACCCTAAACCCTAAACCCTAAACCCTAAACCCTAAACCCTAAACCCTAAAAGGGGCCAAGCCGGTACCCCCAAAACGCCCCAAACCGGCTGCCGAACTGAGATCTGCCGGGCATGTCGCTGGACCTTCCGGGAGTCAACGCGAACTTCTGGGGTGGTGGCTTGGACCGTTTAGGGTTTTAGGGCCTAGGGTCTAGGTCTAGGGTGGTTTAGGGTGGGTTTAGGGTGGATTCAGGGTGGTCTAGGGTGTTTAAGGTTACGGGAGGCACAGGAGGGGCCCATTTTCCTTTTTTTTTGGGTTCGCTTCCCACAAAAGCCCTATGAAGCATGGATTTGTCTTTTGGAGGCGTTTAGGGTTTTAGGGTTTAGGGTTTAGGGGGATTTGGGGCTTGCGATCCCTGCAAGTGCCTGTCAGAGCCCCAGTCCGTATGGCCTGCACCCTAAACTTTTCAACCGTGAAGCTGAAGTGGATGTATGCAGCGCTTCAACTAGACCTAAACCCTAAACCATTAACCCTCAACCCTAAACCCGAAGCCCACCGAAGCCCTAAAACCGAAACCCGAAACCCTAACCCTAAACCCTCAACCCCTAACCCTCAACCCGAAACCCGAAGCCCACCCAAGCCCTAACACCTAAACCCGAAGCACTAAACCCTAAACCCTAAACCTTAAACCCGAAACCCTCCTAAACCCCAACCCCTAAAGCACACCTCCCAGGTTGGGGCTCCAAGAATCAGAACAACTCGGGAGGCCCGAGTTTTGTCCATTTGGGGTTAGGGTTTAGGGTTTAGGGTTTAGGGTTCAGGGGTTTAGGGGTTTAGGGGTTTAGGGGTTTAGGGGTTTAGGGGTTTAGGGGTTTAGGGATGTTTCCCCTTTTCCTATCCGTCCTTAATAGGGATTTTAATCGACGGTCTTGTAATCCTTATTAAGGACTGTTAGTATAAGGGGGAACTTCCCAAGTTCATGGGTTTGGTATTAGGTGTTTAGGCTGGGCCAGGTGCACCTACTTCAGCGGTCTGGGGTTCTTGCATGCGGAGATTTGAGGGTTTAGGGTTTAGGGTTTAGGGTGTAGGTTTGGGCGGGCTGGGGGGTCGGCTTTAGGGTTGGAGTGTGGTTTGGGGCTTAGGGTCTTTGGAGGGTGGAGGTCCTGACTTTCATTTGGAGCATGGATGGTTCGCTTCGGACATGTCAATCCAACCCTAATCCCCAAACCCCAAACCCTAAACCCTAAACCCTAAACCTAAACCCTAAATCCTAATCCCTAAACCCTAAACCCTAAACCCGAAACCCGAAACCCGAAACCCGAAACCCTAAACCCTAAACCCCTAAGCCCCTAAACCCTAGTTGCCTTTGGGTTTGGTGGTTCGGGTTTGAGGGTGTCGGACCGAGCGCTGGAATTCAGGGCGTTGGCACCCTGTGCCCCGGACTGCAAAACCTTCATGAGTGGACAACGGATGGTGGGTTTAGGGGTTTAGGGTTAGGATTTAGGGGTTTAGGGCTTCGGTTTTTGGGGATTGGGGTTTAGTCGTCAGGGGTTTAGGATTTAGGGCTTGGGGCCTTTGTCAACTGGAAGGGCGGAGGCTTTGAGGCTCTGAGTTTTTCGGTGGGTTCTGGGGTTTACGGTTTGAAGTCAGGGTTCTTCGGGTTCAGGGTTTAGGGAACGCAAAGCTTTCCAAGGTCTGTGGTGAATTCATCCCTTCGCGTTCACGTTCTCAGCCAATGGTTGAACTCTAGCCTTTCAGGTGTTTCCCTATCTTGAAAGAAAACCCTCAACCCTCAACCCTAAACCCTAAACCCCTCAACCCTCAACCCTAAACCCTAGATCCTAAACCCTAAACCCTACACCCTAAACCGCTAAACCCTGAACCCTAAACCCGAAACCCCTCGCCCTCACCCTAAACCCCAAACCCTTAACCCCAAACCCCAAACCCTAAACCCTAAACCCCTCAACCCACCATCGCACGGGAGGCCTGAAGAGCGTCGGCCAGTTTGGCGGAAGAGGTGCCATCGCTTCGGCCGCGGGCCTGGATTCTGGAGGGTTTTAGGATTTGGGGTTTGGGTTTCAGGGTATGGGGTTTATCGTTTAGGCTTTGGGGTTTGTGGTTTAGGGCTTGGGGTTTAAGCTTTGGGGTTCAGGGTTTCGCGCTTGGGGTTTTTGGTTTAGG